ACCTTGTACAAAAGCATGGTTAATCTGAGCCTGGTTCCTAAAGCAGATATGTTTTCCTCCTTAATTCTTTTTTGAGAGCCTTTCTGATACATGCTCTTCCCTGTGGTTTTTTGTCTTTTCCTATGGTATTAGTGCTTTGTACTACTTGAGATAAGATTATATCTGGAGCCCTGGCCAGTTTGGCTCAGCGGTTGGAGCTTTGGCTTGCAGACCAGAGAGTCCCGGGTTCGGTTCCTGCTAGGGGCACGTACCAAAAAAAATAAAAGATTATATTCAGAATATTATGAGTAATCAAAAGGCTACATTTGCTCAGCTTTGTAAAGATGTTATCTGTTCCTGAATTGATCTATAGATTAAAGATGTCACCTGTTCTCAAAATAATCTAATTAATCTATAGATTTTATGCAATTCCTATCAAAATCCTAACAGGTTTTGTTCAGGGAAATTGACAACCGATTCTAAAATGTACATGAAAATGCAAAGGGTCAATACCCTCATGAAGAAAAACAAGATGTGAAGACCTTTTCCATCAGACACTAGAACTTATTAAAAAGCCATGGTAATAGAGAAAGTGCAGTATTGCCCCAAGGATAAACACATAGACCAGAGAGATGGAATGAATCAGTGAATCAATATTCTGGAAGAGTCCAAAAACATACCTGTACACACATGGACTAGATTTTTTTTCAAAGTGACATGACAGAGCAGGTGGAAAAGGATAGTCACTTCAATTTTTAAAAAAATTCCAGGGTAGAAAGAGAAACTAAAAAAACAATCTCATTTACCATTGCAGCAAAAAAATTAAGATACCTAGGAATAAACTTAACTAAAGAAATAAAGGACCTATTTGCAGAAAACTACAGGACATTGAAAAAAGAAATAGAGGAAGATATAAAAAAGTGGAAGCACATACCTTGTTCATGAATTGGAAGTATTAACATCATTAAAATGTCCATACTACCTAAAGCAATCTATAGATTCAATGCAATCCCCATCAAAATACCAACGACATACTTCACAGCACTAGAATACTTCAAAAGTTCATATGGAACCAAAAAGACCCCGAATAGCCACACCAATCTTGAAAAAAAAGAACAAAGTTGGAGGGATCACATTACCAGATTTCAGCTTATACTACAAAGCCACGGTAATCAAAACAGCCTGGTACTGGCACGAGAACAGGCAGATAGATCAATGGAACAGAATAGAGAACCCAGAAATGGACCCAAGACAATATGTTAAATTAATATTTAACAAAAGGGGGCAAGAGCATACAGAGGAGTAAAGACAGCCTCTTTAATAAATGGTGTTGGGAAAATTGGACAGCTACATGCCAAAAAATGAAACTAGACTATCAACTTACACCATACACAAGAATAAACTCAAAATGGATAAAAGACTTCAATGTGACTCATGAATCCATAAAAATCCTAGGAGAAAATGTAAGCAATAAAATTTCAGACATCATACACAGCAGAATTTTCACTGATACATCACCTAAGGCAATAGAAACAAAGGAGAAAATGAACATATGGGACTACATCAAAGTCACAAGCTTCTGCACAGCAAAAAGAAACAACCACCAAAATGGAAAGGCAACCCACTGTACGGGAGAGCATCATTGCCAATGATACATCAGATAAGGGGTTAATTTCCAATATATATAGAGTGCTCATACAGCTCAACAAAAAGAAGACAAAGACCCCAATTAAAAAATGGGCAGAGGAATTAAATAGACACCTCTCCAAACAGGACATACAAATGGCCAAGAGACATATGAAGAAATGCTCAACATCACTAATCATCAGAGAGATGCAAATTAAAACAACAATGAGGTATCACCTCACACCTGTCAGAATGGCCGCCATCAACAAATCATCAAACAACAAGTGTTGGCGAGGGTGTGGAGAAAAGGGGACTCTAGTGCACTGCTGGTGGGAATGCAAACTGGTGCAGCCACTATGGAAAACAATATGGTGTTACCTCAAAAAATTAAAAATTGAACTTCCATTTGACCCAGTGATCCCACTTCTAGGAATATACTCTAAGAAGCCTGAAACACTAATCAGAAAAAATATATGTACCCCCATGTTAATAGCAGCACTATTTACAATAGCTAAGATCTAGAAACAGCCCAAATATCCATCATTAGACAAATGGATAAAAAAGCAGTGGTACATACACACAATGGAGTACTATGCAGCTGTAAGAAAGAAAGATCAATCCTTTGAGACGACATGGAGGGACCTGGAGAGTATTATCTTAAGTGAAATAGGCCAAGCAGAGAAAGACAAATATCACATGATCTCACTTATTTGTGGAATATAATGAACATAACATATGTTCATTGAGAGACATATGAAGAAATGCTCAACATCACTAATCATCAGAGAGATGCAAATTAAAACAACAATGAACAGGGTAGTTCCAGAGATGTGGAAGTGGGGTACAGACTGACAATCCCCAGAAGAGGGGGTGTGGGAGAGTTAAATCACAGAACTTATATGCATGTATGCATGAACAATGGACATGGACAACAAAGCTGGGGACAGGGCGGGGAGGGATGGGGAAGGAAAAAGGAGAAACATCTATATCAATGGGTGAAAAAGGAGAAACATCTGTAACAAAAATTAATTAATTAATTAAAAAGAAAACAAAATACAAATCCCCAATAAAAAAAAAATCCCAGAATAATTAGGTGGCAATATGATTTAAAAAAAAAAAAAGTGACTATATCCTTATCTCATACCGTGTTTATTCTAAACCCTGGTTCCTAAGAAAATATTAGTTTTCCTCCCTCATTCTGCTTTGAGGAAATTTTTAATAAATGCTCCTCCCAAAGGTTTTTATTCCCTCATACATGGAGAGCTAACTGTGAAGGCAAAATAATAAAAAGTTTATTACATAATGAGAAAAAAGAAAGGTAAGTCTGAATATAAGAAATGGCTGTGGGCCAACTGACAATAATGAAAAGACTTTTCTCGGTGAGTAATAAATGCAGAGCAACCCCATCTGAGGAGCCACAGATGATGTTAACACTTTTAACTCAGTGTTTTTCAAGGAAACAAGGAGAGAGAGAGCTCATTAGAAAACTGGAATGCAGATGTTCCTGGAAGATGGCAATTTCAAAGTACTATTGGCAATCAGTGCATGTAAAGGAGCAGTTAGAACCCTTGTAGAGGAAGAACGCCCAGATCAGTACCCAAGGAAGAGCCTTAATGCAACACCTTCATTTTCTGTACCCACTGCTTTCTGTAACCATTTTTTAAGCAGACTTTTCTGTGCCAAGAACATTCTTTTCTGTTTATTTTAAAATAATATCCAATTTTGGAAAAATGCTAAAATATTATTAAAGGTTTACATACACTTTTCACCCCATTTCACAAATGTTGTTGTGTTGCCCTACTTGCCTTAGTATTCTTTCTTTTCCTTCCCCTAACTCTACCTTTATATATTTTTTTCTAAAACATTTGAGAATCAGCTGTACATATAGCACCATTTTACCTCTGGATACTTGAAGGTGTATTTCCTAAAAACAAGAACATTCTCTTCTATGATAACAGTACAATTCTCAAGATCAGGAAATTAACACTGATACAATACTTATTATGTAATCTACAGATCTTTTTCAAATATTTCCAATTATTCCACTAATATCCTTTTAAAGACTCTTCTTTTAAATATTCTGTGGCTGTGGTCTTGGTGAAATAATCCCCAGCCTTTTCAAGAAGATGTAGTCATGCACTTAGCACATGCAAAAATAATTTGAGCCTCATTGATTTTTCAGGAAAAAAGACACCAAAACTTCCTTTTAGCTGTGCATGCAGACATTCCCGGAAGGCGACCACAAATGCAGGCTCACTCTATTCCCCAAAACCTGTATTATCAGAGAAGTTTCTGAATTATCTCTTTTTCCTGCAGGGTATTTGCGTACTGCTTTCCTGATTTCTCATTAGACTGAGAAAGCCCACATCAAAAATATCTTAGAAGATGTTTTTGCTTCCCTCTCACACAAAGCAAAGTAACTTTCTATTTCAATTTCAGAGCAAGAGAGGATGTACAGGGCTTGTGGGATGTACTAGTTGCTACCAGCAGCTTATTCCATTCCCTGTTCTTGAGACTATGGCTCTGCTATAAAGAAGTAATGAGGCCAAAGGACAGCAACCTAAATAAATGCCCACCAGAAAGAGGACTAAAGAAATTCTGGTGTATAAATTAATGTAATACTGTGCAACCATTCAAAAACAAGAGGCAGCTGTAAATGTTCCCAAATGAATTAAGCCTAACAACAGAAATTATCTAAGTCATTTTGACTCTGCAGAAGGAAACTGGGGGACTTGGGGAGATAGAGATGGAGGAAAGACATTTATAGTAAACCCTTTTGTTGCATCTGATTTTTTAAATTTTTTCCAGTGTATGTTATGTGTTGGGGAGGGAATCATGAGTAGTAGATAGGTAGATAGATAGATAGATACATACATACATACATACATAGAAAGAATGAATCATGGGGTAGGTAAATTTAAGAACATAAATTTGAAAACAAACAAAAAACCATTAGTTTCCATGTTCTCCAGCTGCACCTTTTGTTTCTAAAGCCATCACTCCCTTTTTTATTTTCACCACGGTTTAGTCTTCCCTTGGGTAGTGGAGACACAAAACAGATTTAGTCATGGACACACTCTGAACAGAACCGCACACCATACATAGCTTCCAATACACTTTTTAAGACTTGGAAGTACAGGGGGCGGGAAAAGATAAGGAGAAACCTTGGGCAATTTAAGTGGGACCTCGCCTCTCCCTGGGTCTCACTCAGATTGGCATTACCTCCTCTTACCTTCCATTCCTTCCTCCGCCTTATTCCCCACCCCCGCTCCAGACCCAGACCACCCTGGTGACTGGACTGGCGCAAATTGCCGCCTACTTGTGCTACCGCCCCCGTGGCCACCTCGTGACGTCAGGGCAGAGCGAGGGGGCGCCGCCTCCCGGGTGTCCGCCCCTCCCGTTCCTGCAGCCTGGACTTGCCCTTTAAAAGAGCGGGGGCCTGCGCCACACCGCGGGCACCAAGACACACGACTGTTTTCCTGGAGCATCTTCATTTCGCCTTTCGTCTGCATCTCGCTCCATTGCTCCATCTGCTCATCTTCGCGCAGCTTCGGGCGAGCCGGGCCATGCAGCGGGCAGTGCTTCTCGGCCTTCTGGGAGCCACGATGGTGGCCGGTGAGTGGGCGCGGCAGGCTGTTCAGCACCGCGGACAGCTCCCGCCTCTGTGTTTCCCTCGGCCGCGGGCATCTTGGCTGGAGGATACCGGGAGAGAAAGAGGGTTAAGTGGAAGGTTCCTCTCTCTTGCTTGAGGTTTTTAATTTCTTCTCTTTCCCGGGTGTTTTCCTTCCACTCCCCGCCCTACTGTCTGACTTGGAAAAAGCCAGAGGGCTTCCTAGCCCAACCCCAAGAGTCTCAGTCTTTTCCTCAGTTTTCCTGTGGATAGGGAGAAAACGTGCCCGTGCCTCCAAGGCACATTGCGCTCACTTCTAAGTTGCCAGACTCGCCCAGCCGGTGTGGCTCAGTGCTTGAGCATCAATCCATGCACCAAGAGGTCGCCGGTTCGATTCCTGGTCAGGGAGCATGCACAGGTTGTGGGTCTGATCCCAGTGGGGGACATGCAGGAGGTGGCCGATTGATGTTCTCTTATCAATGTTCCTATCTCTCTCCCTTTCCCTTCCTCTCTCTAAAAAATCAATAAAGAAAAAATATTAAAAATAAATAAATAAATAAATAAATAAATAAATAAATAAATTGCCAGGCTCTCTCTACCTATCTAGAGAGCCACTGTTATAGTCTTACTCTGTATCTGTATTTAAGTATTTGTTTGGCTTTTTAAAACCAGATAACCAAGGAGTGACAGTAGTGTAATATGATATAGTTGGTACCTGCATATTTTCCTTTGCTGTTGTTGTTATTATTATTATATAAACACGATGAGATAAAAGTAAGTCTCATACATAAGATACCATATTTTATTATTATCATGTTCATATATATGTGCATGTGTGTTCATGTATATGTGTGTACAGGGTTAATGTAATATTTTCTGTATTTTGTATTTTTGCCTCTGGAGAGAGGAAATTTCACACTCAATTTAATGAATTTTTAAGTTATGAATGAAAACTTCAGTAGATATTTTGACTTTTGTATTCCAGAAAAATAATAGAATATAAAATAACTACAAAAATATCCTTGGAGTACTAAAAATATTGTTTTAGTCAATTTGAGAGGATGAAATTTTTCTGGTTTTTAAAAATTGAGGTATAACTGACATATAACAGGATGAAATATTTGACAGTGTCTTCTGATGTGTGGATGAATTGGGATTACTCTTTCAAACTAGCTCTGGAGATTTAAAAAAATACATTGTGTGTGTATGTGTTGAAATAAAATAATTATGAGTACTGAGACTATTGAGAAGCAAATAGACCACCACCAGATTAAACTGGGGGTTTCCTTTGGCTGTTTTAATGACATCACATAATTTTTTTAAAAATCTGAGATTGAGATTCTAACTAGAATTGAGGTATTACCATCCATGAATATAAAGCTTTTAGTGGCAGCAATTAGTGGATCCAAAATGTAAAGAAACAAAAGGAAAGCCAATGGTAATCTATTTTGTTGCAAGCCACATACATTCAGAATTTTCTAAAATGCTTACGTTCTTACAAATTGCCTATAAATGTTCTCAATTTAATTAAAGAAATCCAAATGAATGATATAGTCTCTCTGGTCAAAAATATCTTCAGAAAGGAATTGCTTAAGAGGCTAAAGCTGTGCTATACATTGTACTATGGACCACAATGTGACATTTGTGAAGCTTATTTAACAATAGTGGTAAAATACTTATAGCTCTCTTATGTACAAGAATATTTTTTAAAGAGTTCATATTTTAACATGAGCTAAAATGGAGACATTATAGTTTTTAAAAGTTTATTGAGCTATAATTCACCAATAATAAAACCCATCCTTTTAAAGTGCATAATTTAGTGATTTTTAGTATATTCACAGATTGTATACCCACTATCAAATTTCAGAACATTTTCATTACCCCAGATAGAAATTCCATATCCATTAGCAGTTATTTTCCATTCCCACCTCCCCCAACACCTGGAAACGAGACATGATTAACCTTCAAGCAGAGTTTGTTATTTAGCAAAATCACAGGGCTGGGGAAAAAACTCAGGAAACCATATGGTCCATTTCCTACCCTTCAGAGTTTCTGGAAGGAGAGCTACACATTTTTACAGTAGCTACTGTGCACTCTAAAAATTAATATGAATGAAGTAGCTATATGATATCCATTTTATACCAGGTTAGATAGTTTCTGCATTCAGAAGGGCCTGATTAACTTGTTATTATACAGCTTTATTTTCAATGTGGGATCATACCTTGATAGTCTTATGAGATATTAATACTTTGGGTGTTATTCTCAGATTTATAGTACAATATTATTTGAATTTTTTTTCTACCATTTGACTATTTTAACAAAGCCCACTGGCTTTTCTTTTGTGTCTCCTGAGTCTTCACACAAAAATAAGGTAACTACTTTAGGGGAATCAAGGTGTTCTGGTTATTACTTTGTTGTCACAGATTCTGTTGGAAGCAACACAATGGCACTTATATGTCTCACCAAGATGCACAATGTACTTTCTCAAGGAGTCCCTAGTTCCTTTCCATCAAACAGATTTCTGAAGAGCTTAAACCAGAGAAACAATACTATTTTGTAATAATAAATATAAGCTGCAAATTGTTTAGAGCAATAAAAGAAAAATATTTCCCTCTCCCAAATCTGATGACTGCTTATAGTTTGCCAATATCAGTAGCTAATAAAAACATATATTCTACATTTTGGAGGGGGGAAAAGGGAAGTATTAGCAAGAAACTGCAATATGAAAGAAATTTAGTAAAGCTAGATTTTAAAAGGCACCTTCTGAGAGGAGGAATTCTCTTAGTTATTTCTTTCCAGAGGATTTTACAGATTTCAGGTAGAAAGAGTAAGTACCAAAGTGGGAATGTTCCCTCCGTTGAAGGCTAAAATAATCACCCATCATAGCGCACCGTGGGTGCCAATGTGGGCCATATGAATCTTTCTTTTTTAATCCTCACCTGAGGACATTTTTTCATTTTTTGTTCAGATAGAGTGGGAGGGAGAGAGAGGAAAAGAGAGAGAGAAACATTGATGTGAAAGGGACACATCGAGTGGCTGCCTCCCCCACGACCCAACCAGGGCCGAGGACAAACAGCAACCATGGTACATGCCCTTAGCGGGAACCGGACCCAAATCTCTCTGGACCGCAGGCCAATGCTCTAACTGCTGAGCCAAACTGGCCAGGGCAGAATCTTATCTGAACTATATTTCAGGATGAACAGGGGGTCTTTATACCTCATTAGCCACTTCTTAAACATTTTACAAATGATTTTAACATGCTGGCTAACTTTAGGCCTCTTGAAACAATTGAAGTAGATCCCAGGCCATGCTTGGAAAGGGAAAATTCAGTAAGGTGAGTAAATGGAATAGGTGTTATATTTCTAGGTTGAGCCGTATGGTATGTAATTGATTGGAGGGGGTGTAGTTACAGTGGCTTGGGGAGCAAACATTTTGGGAGGAAAGGTCAGGTTGCTGGTTATAAATAAACTGCGTTTCAGTAGCTTACATCTCCGATGTCTGAGGGTTTTGCTTTTGCTCCAGCTAGCTCGTCTCTTGTTTCAGGGACCTAGAAGAATTTTCTGCACTGATTTTCTCCTCCAGGCAGTGCCAGAAGAACAGAGGAGATGAGCCTATGTGCACATAAATGCTTTGAGCAAATCCAGTGGAAAAGGCTTGGACAACACCAAATCAAAGTGAAACATAAAAATATCAAAACAGCTTTGAAAAAGAAGGCACTGGAAAATTGAAATCAACTGAAGTATTTCCTAAGAAGATAATATACTTCAGTCTGGTTTAAAAGAAGCAGAATCTCATGAAATTTAATTTAAATGAATTAAAATGATCCTTTTTAATGCCCTCATAAATAGTTGTTAAACACCTATTTGCATATGATACTATGGACTCAATGCTCTAGTAGAATTAAAAACCTCCCATGTTCTCTGCATGGCTGCAGACAGCATAGGGGATGACATACAGCATTGACTGATACAGATGCATAAGCAAGCTTGTCCAGGCAGATAGCTAGGGTAAAAATGAGGTAACTGATTATGTGAGATAGTCACAACAATGTTTTTGTAAAGGAACTGAGTTTTGGAGGGGACAGGAGTAGGCAGAGGGAGTCACAGATCTTTACCCATTTTGGATGGGCAGAAGGGTGGAGGAGGGCACCCTGGTTTTATTTAAACTAGGTCTATTTTAAACTTTTAATTGATGTATAATATACATATACATATAGAAAACTGCGCAGATCTTAAATGTACAGCTTAATGAATTTTTCATGCATTGAGCACACCTGTGTCATCAGCACCTAGATTAAGAAACAGAACATTACCAGTGTTCCCAAACCTTCCCTTGTCTGTGCTCTGAGTTTGATTTATACTGAATATAAGATAGCATTCATTTCCAAATCATGTTTAAGACATTGCTAGGGAAAACAACTGTGTCTGTGTGTGTGTGTGTGTGCGCGCGCGCACAACTCCTGGGCAATCATCCCTAACTATCTTTATTCTGTTCATCTCTGACTCTACCCCTCTCTCCAAGTACTGCATGTGTTAGGTGGGGGATGATTTTGTGTTTGGGTTCACACCACTTTCAAAGTCAATTCAAGTCATTTCCCTTTTTTCTCCCCTCTTTCAAAGCTGTCAGTTCTATGCCAGTGGATAACAGAAACTACAATGAAGAAATGGTAAGTTGTGCCCGGCCGGTGTGGCTCAGTGGATTGAGTGTCATACCATGGACTGAGAGATCCTGGTTCGTTTCCCAGTCAGGGCACATGCCTGGGATGCAGGTTCAATCCCCAGTAAGAGGCATGTAGGAGGCAGCTGATCAATGTTGCTCTCTCACATCGATGTTTCTATCTCTCCCTTCCTCTCTCTCTAAAAAATCAATAAAAACATTTTTTAAAAAAGAAATGGGAAGTTGAAATATGTCTAGAATCTAGACTTATATCTAGACTCGAGATTCTCCCGCTCCTTATTACACTGAACTAAACAAAATAAAAGCCCAAAACAAACAACAACACAAAACAAACCAGGTTTTCAGTGCTGAGGGAATAAGGGCAAAGATGTCCCTCCTGCCCTGGGCTCTCACTTTTTTCCTGGATGTTTTAGTGTCTCTGAGGACAACTGTCTCATCAGACCATTTTCCTTCCAACTTGTTCAGAAATGGGTGCTTATTACTCCTAGGGTGATCTTGGCCCAGAGCCTTCTTGCATTGCTCTATGGAGAGGCCTGGGAGGTTTCATCACAGTCCTGTAAATTTACATCTCTATCCCAAGGATCCTGCATCAGTACAGGTCACGTAGCCACACATCTCTGGGACAGCAGCTCTGGGTTGAGTAGTCTGCCATGCCTTTGATATCAGCTTCTGCCAATCTGCTTTTGGATTTCCCCCTAGGTGACTCGCTGCATCATCGAGGTCCTCTCAAATGCCCTGTCGAAGTCCAACGCTCCACCCATCTCCCCTGAGTGCCGACAAGTCCTCAAGAAGAGTAAGTTTCCTGCACTGCAGGGAGCTTTGCCCCCTGAGTGGTCCTTGCTCCTGCTCTCTCTAGTTCACCTTCCACTTTACCTCCAAACCAGGGACATAATGCAGTGTGGGGGGGGGGGTACAGACTAGACTGGTATCTGGGGAGACGGAATATATAGCTTCTAGCCTCTACTCTGCCACTTGATCACTATGTGACTATGGAAAAGATCTGTGCCCCTCTAGGCTAATTTCCTCAAAGTAAAATGAAGGGACTGAGCTAGTGGTAGTCTTTGAGATGTCTGTCAGTTCTTAAATTCCTTGTTTCAGAGTTTGGATTTTCAGAACAAGCTTTTATTTGGGTGCAAGAGATGTGGGGAGTGCTTATTTGTGATTGGAGGAGGGAGGATTGAGCATTCTGGGAGTGTTGGAAAATGACAGAATAGAAGGAGATTTTACATATTCTTCTCTTTGCCATCAACTCTTGACAGTGATGATTTTCCGAGTTAGAAGCTGAGAAAGGTGACTTGGAAACTTCTGGCCTGTTTACCTGAAAGGTTGGTTAAGCCATTTCAATGCAGAGCTTATTAGAAGGGAGGTACTACCAAACGGTACCAGGAATCCCAGGCCTGCGAACTGGAAAGGGTGAGGGTAGAAGCAGAGCACCCCATGAGTCAGAGCAATGACCTTCTGAATCCAGATGGGGGTGTTTTCTTTATGCAAATCAGCTTCTGTTGAAAACAAATTTTGAACAGTGACACAAGCAGTACCCATTGGGAGTTGACATTAAGAGATCAATTTTATAAAACTATGTAGTCTCTTTTTGCATGAAGTCAAACTGGTTTAAACAAACAAACAAACAAACAAACAATAAAACCTATTCCCTTCAACACCTTTCTCTTCTTTTAAATTTTTAGTCAGGCTGGGAACAATGGACTTTTCTTTATCTTTTTACCTTCAAAATCTCTCATTGCAAAATAATACTTTTTTGCTAGCGTTGCACATGAACCCTCAACCATAGAATGGTAAAAATGAGTATTGCAAGGATTAGCAATTGACCAAAAGAGTTGCCTGGGGGACTCAATCCACCACTGGGAATTTCAGGGTAACTATAGTAGGTGTGGGGGCCTGAGCCTGTAGGGGCCCCATGGACCCATGGAAGTACAAGCTTGTCTACCAATGCCTACATACATACTTCTTACTGAATTTCTCCCAACTTTCTTTGCCAGCCAGTACAGGGAATGAGAGCAAAGTGGATCTCAGGCAGGGCCTAAAGGCTGCTCCTCAGGGCAAACCCATCTCGCTATTTCTCTTCCCCTTTCTTTGTTTACCAGATGGATGTAAAAGTTTGAGGTCTGTCATACTAGGTCATCAAAGAACCATGATTGCTTAGAAAGAGCCATTGAATGTAGGGCTCCGCTTGCCTGCCAAGTTCAGATTCTTAGCCCCTTAGGTTGTGGCCATAAGATTCTAGGCTCTGCTTATTATTGATTGTGCCCTGGGGTCTTTTTTTTTCTTTTAATCTTCACCCAAGGATACTTTTCCATTTATCTTCAGATAGAGTGGGAGGGAGAGAGAGAAAGATCCATGTGAGAGAGACACATCTATTGGTTGCCTCTCACATGACCCCAACCAGAGCCAGGAACCAAACCACAACCGACACATGCCCTTGACTGGAATCGTACCCTCAACTCTTTGGTCTGTGGGCTGATGCCTCTAAATGCTGAGCCAAGGCTGCTCTGGGGTCTTTTGATGTCTGTTGTGAGAGCTCCAGGGAAACTAGTAAAAAACAAATGGCTCAGCCCTGGCCGGTTTGGCTCAGCAGTTAGAGCGTCGGCCTGCGGTCCTGAGAGACCCGGGTTCGGTTCCCGCTAAAAAATAAATGGCTCAGGACCCTGGTGACATTATATCCAGAGAGCCATAAAGTGCTGAGATTGGGAAGATTTAAGAGCTCCTATGGGGTTGCAGACTCACATGCCAGCCAGGGCCAGACAAACAAATAACATAAAGCAGTAAGGCAGGACAGGCCTGTAACGAGGAGCAGATATTTCTCAGGTCCAACCCTACTGTGGAGGAATACAGACTGTAACTAGATCCCGGGATTTTTTTCAAAAGAAGTTAAAGTTGGGATTTGTAAGCATATCTCCTGGTATTTAAGTATTGCTTCTGAATTAGAATTTACTAAAAATGTTATTAAGGCCAAACAATTCACTTCTGGGCTACCATTTTGTGACTTGTGCCCTATTCTAGTTTTCTCTCCCCTGTTGACATGTCTTAAGCTGATCCAAAGATTGGTGGAGCTTTCAGCCAACTGGGTGGATGAATTCCTTCCTACAGCCTCCCTCCCACACCCAGCCCATCTCCATCTCCATTGCCAGTCCCTCCAGCACATCTCTGGAGCCAGCATACACTTACTGAGCAAGGGAGCAGGAAAGAATCATTGGTTTATGGCTTGAAGAGATTTTAGGGAATGCGTAATCCAATTTCTTAACAGGTATAAGATTCTCTTGACCAGGTGATGTGGTCATCGTTACAACATTATAGGGATGGAACATGCACTTCCCCTTTTTACTTGAAATTAAGAGTGAGCTTCATGCCTCGATTTTACAGGTTGACAGTGACTATGTGCTGCTAATCACAGCCCTTCTCTGATCTCACCTGCGGGGGCTTAAAGCTAAATTTAGGAGGAAGTGCTAAGCCTCAGGCACAAGCTGCTACAGGCAGCACATATTTAACTGAGAAAAAATAAAAAATACTTTTGTTCCTGACCAGCAGGCAGTAGGAAGGGGCCACACAGCCTCTGCTCTGGGAAGCTGAGATCCTGTCTGATCGGTGGCACTATTTCAGCTGACTCTCAGAATGACGTCAGTATCTGGCCAAAGCCTCCCGGTTACTGGTGCCTACCTGGCCAGCCCCACCAGCCCCTAAGCTGCACACACTACCACTGGCTCTTAAAAGGCAAAGACATTGGTGAGGGGCCAGCCCTCAAGTGTCTGAGTGTGAAAGGTCATTTCAATTGTGTCATAAAACACGAGAATGTTAGCATGGCAGTCTGGGCTTTAAACAGGGAGATAGAGACCTTCCACTATTGCTTGGGCATTTTTTGCAAAACAGACCAGTTTTTTCTATTTTGTAAATGTCAGTTTAACATGACTCAGATCCGTTTAATAAAAATATAATGTGAACCACAAATATAATTTCAAATTTTCTAGCAGCCACATTAAAAAGACAGGTGAGCCCTGGCCAGTTTGGCTCAGTGCTTAGTGTGTTGGCTGCGGACCAGAGAGTCCTAGGTTCAATTCCTGCTAAGGGCACATACCTCGGTTGCAGTTTGTTCCTGGCCCCGGTTGGGGTCGTGTGGGTGGCAACCACTCGATGTGTCTCTCTCACATTGATGTTTCTCTCTCTCTCTTCCTCTCTCCCTCCCCCCCACTCATCTGAAGATGAATGCAAAAATGTCCTCGGGTGAGGGAGAAAGAAAAAAAGACAGGTGAAATTAATTTTTTAATAATATATTTAGTTTTATCTAATATATTTATTTAATATATAAGTTATTATACATCCAATATTATACATCCAAGTTATTATATAGCCATTATCCAATACATTCAAAATGTTGTCATTTCAACATATAATCAATATAAAAAATTGAGATATTTTACATTTTTTTGTATGAATTTTAAAAATCTGGTAGGTGCCCTGGTCGGTTTGCTCAGCAGTTGGAGAGTTGGCCCTCGGACCAAAGAGTCATAAGTTCAGTTTTATTCAAGGGCATGTACCTTGGTTTCGGGTTCAGTCTCAGCCCTGGTCAGGGTTGTGCGGAAGGCAGCCAATGTCTCTCTCTCTCTCTTCCCCTCCCTCCATCCCTTCCACTCTGTCTGAAGATAAATAAAATAATATCTTCAGGTGAGGATTAAAAAAAAATCTGGTGGGTATCCATCTTACCCTTACAGCATGTCTCAGTTCAGACCAGCCACATTTCACGTGCTGAATAGCCACAGAGGGCCAGTGGCTCCCACAATGGCCAGTTCAGGTGTACATCCAGGGCTGTGAGTGACCTTGGCATCCAGGCGCTCTTCTGAACTCAGTGACCTAAGTTGAAATCCAAACCTCCCAGCTAACAAGTCAGACGGTGTTAACTGCGTGTCTCCTTTCACGAGATGTCCTTGAGTTAAGGAGGGTTTAGTAAAGGAACTGTCGACATTTGGAAAAGATGGGAGAGAACAGCATTCCGTTAAAATATTGCTTATACCATCTACTGTTGACTCTTGAAAATACAAAGAAAACCCAGTCTACTGATCTTCATCCTCAACATTTGAGAACATACTGGGCAGATGGGACCTGAGTCAAGGAAGAAATGGCCTTTCCATTGCTGTGTAGTTTTCTCAGGGAAGAAATATACACCCTTCTTATCACCAAATACTAAGTTATGTTGTCACTTACTGCTAGGTTGAGTCTACACAGTTGTTTGGATAACAAAAGCCTGAGAAACTAATAATTTAAAACTTTTTCAATCCTCCTTTGAATCCTGATATTTCTTATTTTGGCTATTTAACTTTATTTAGCTGGATTTTAGGTAACTTTTCGATTCCTACTTAGAGCAAATATGGAAGGAGTGGCCCTGAATCACACCTCTCTGAGCCCCAAGATCTTAGTCTGCAAAAAGATGAGCTTGAACTAGACAAATTCTGAGTTTTTTTTATGGTATTAAATTCTAACATGTCATAAATCTATACTTGGATTTCAATTCAATCATGGATAGTACCGATAAGAGATGCTGGTTGGGTGTTATGAAAATAAATAAAAATACAGAGAGTTTATTATTAGATAGCCAAGGAGCTTTCATACCATCTGCTTTTAAAAGGAATCTGAGTATATTCTTTATTAACTTTAAAAAATTCTCCAAGTGACTTCCAGGGTCCTTAGGATTTGTGGTGATCACTCAGGCTGGTGCCTGTTGAACCACAAGCAATTCTGAAGTTATACTCACTCTTTTCAAATTTTTCATTACAGGTGGAAAAGAGGTTAAAGATGAAGAGAAAAGTAAAAACGAAAACACAAGGTTTGAAGTAAGATTGTTGAGAGACCAAGCTGATGCCTCTGAAGCCCACAGACCCTCCAGTAGGGAGGACACAGGAGCCCCAGGGGCGGGGGACACCCAAGGCCCATCAGCGGCCAACGCAGAAGGCGATGGGCCCAGTCGAGAGGGAGCAGGCGAGCCCGAGGGGACCCTCTATCCCTCTGACAGTCAAGTCTCCAAAGAAGCAAAGACACACCATTCTGGGAAGAGCGAGGGAGAGGACAAGGAGGAAGAGGAAGGAGAGAAATATCAGAACAGGGAGCATGGGGACGGCGGCAGTGAAGAGAAACACCTGGAAGAGCCAGGAGAGACCCCAAATGCCTTTCTTGACAAAAGAAACCAGGCGACAACTAAGAAAAAAGAGGAGCTAGTGTCCAGATACAGCTCACACGCTGCCAGGCTCCCCGAGGAAAAGACACACAGCCGGGAGAGGAGTAGCCAAGAGAGCAGAGAAGAGACGAGGACCCAGGCAAAACGCCCCCAAGAGTCTAAAAGCCAAACTGGGAGCCAAGAAGAATCTGAGGAAAGTGAGGAAGATTCCAGCCATGAGGTGGACAAACGTCGCTCTAGGCCGAGACATCACCATGGGTGGAGGAGGCCCGGCAGATCCTCGGAGGAAAGGGGACAACCCCGGGCGGAATCTGAGGCGTCAGTCGTGGACGTGGCCAGCTTAGGGGACAAGAGGGACCGTTATCCAACCCACTACAGGGCTTCAGAGGAAGAACCCGAATACGAGGAAGAAGGAAGGAGTTACGCGGGGGTCCAGGCTCCTGAGAACCTGGAGAAGGGGCGACATGGGGGCAGAGGCAGGGAGAAGTATGGAGCTCCAAGGCCTCCCAGTGAGGAGAGCCAGGAGGAGGAGGACAAGAGAAATCGCCCCAACTCGCAGCTTGACAACATGGCCTATGGATATGGGGAGGAAAGCGAGGAAGAGAGGGGCCCTGCGTGGGGAGACCGCCACGGAGCCGGAGCCAGGGAGCCTGGCGCCTATTCCACGCCAGACAGAGACGGGAACCACTTCATGGGTGGAGGACACTCCCCTGTTCAAGAAAACCAGTTGGACAAGGCCAGGAGGCTGGGGCAAGGCCAGTGGAAAGAGCAGGACAGAAATGACCTCAGCTATGGTGAGGAAGCCGGGGAGCAAGGGGCCCGCGGGAAGTGGCAGCAGCTGGAGGACCTGCAAGACCCGGAGAACAGGGAGGAAGCGCGGCTGCCAGGCAAACAGTACACCCCCTATCCCGCCCCTGAAAAGAGGAGGAGACTAGGGGAGCTGCTCAACCCGTACTACGCCCCTTCCCAGGGAAAGGGCAGCCAATTTGACAGAAAAGACAACATAGATGACCGTTTTCTTGAGGGTGAAGACGAGAATGGCCTGACCTTGAATGAGAAGAATTTCTTCCCAGAATACAACTATGACTGGTGGGAGAAAAAGCCCTTTGAGGAGGATGTGAACTGGAGATATGAGAAGAGAAACCTCGCCCCCAAACTGGATCTGAAAAGGCAGTATGACCGAGTGGCTGAGCTGGACCAGCTCCTTCACTACAGGAAGAAGTCAGCCGAATTTCCAGACTTCTACGACGTGCAGGAGCCACTGAGCCCACGCCACGCAGCGGGACACGAAAAGGACAGGGCTGGCCCAGGGGCACTGACAGAGGAAGAGGTACAGTGTTTAAAATTAACTTAAGATGGCTAATGTTATTACGTTCCAGGCTATCTGATATTGACCGGGAGAAACTGGTGGGAATTAATCACCACAATAATGTACCCCCAGTTAACCGAATGGAGACAGCTTCTGGGCTTGATTTCTGCCTACTGTCTAGCCATTGTCCACATCCCTGCCCACCTGCTCCGGTTGCGCTGTGCTACACCTTGGCCGCACACTGCAATCCCGTGGAGATTTTGAAGAATTACTGATGTCTGGGACCCGTCCCCAGAGATTCCGTTTGGTACTGGGTGCTGCCTGGCATCAGCATTTTTTAAATCTCCCAGATGGTTTCAATGTTCAGCCAAGGCTGACAACCAAGCACTGCTCTGGTGTCTTCCCTTGGTTATTTGATGCTGCATCACTATTTCCCAGGGCAGGTAAAAGCAGATGATAGAGAAATTCGTTGTTTGGTCTATCTTCGCCAGCTCATGGCCTGTAACTGTCAGAAATTTACATCGGGAAAGATAACATGATCAGAGCTGTCCCTTTTCCTCCTATTGATCATGTAGGTGCTGCTCAACATGACTGTGCAGCAGCATCTCGAGAGAGTCCTAGCCCTCAGAGTGTGGGACTCAGGAGGTCCCGGGTGCAGTCCAGGAATCTGCATTCCTGACGAGTTCCTCAGTGATGCTGCTGGTGCTGCTGGCGGGGGGACTACCTTCTAAGAACCACTCATGTAGGGTGTCTCATAGAGCCTCAAAAATATAGAAAATCCTCTTTCCGTTCATACTGCCTTAAACTACAATGATATAAATTGATCTGGAACCTCATGCTTCCTTTTTTGTGTGTGTGTGTTTTCTAGGAAAAAGAACTTGAAAACTTGGCTGCAATGGATTTGGAACTACAGAAAATAGCGGAGAAGTTCAGTAATCGAAGGGGCTGATGGTCATTGGAGCCAAGGGCCATTCACTTTATGTATTTCCCACCACTTCACTAAAAGGCGTCATTCATTCACCTAAAGGCAGAAAGTAGACTACTATTCATTATCTGCTTGAGGCAATTAGAAATGTCTTTAATTTGTGCCAGAATGCTATTGAAAATAAAAATAGCATGACTTGTAGCATATTCTTTCTGCAAAATCGACATATTAACATGCTTGTGACAATGACTGTGCTACTATCCTTGAAAAAATATGTTTGTATCCATTTAAAATAATAAAAGATTCATCTGAAGCCAAAATGTCATGTCCTCAGCCTAATAGAAGGGAGTATGATATTCAAATCCGTTCTTTAAAGTGAATTCTAAAAGACAGCACTAACATTCATTGGTCTTTCGATGAGGAAAAGGAAAAAAAAAAGAAAGAAAAGCAAACCTTTCAAAGATGTAAAGAGAAAAAGATCAGGAAAAGACATCTTTTACCCCAGGCTGGAGAAAGATTAAATAAGTTTAAAGAACCGTTTGAAACATTACTTTAAAAATCCTGTTATCTGCCTGGCTGGTGTGGCTCAGTGGTTGAGCATCGACCCATGTGCCAGTTAGATTCTTGGTCAGGGCACATGCCCAGATTGTGGGCCAAATCCCCAGTGGAGGGCATGCAGGAGGCAGCCAACCAATGTTCTCTCTCATCAATGCTTCTATCTCTCTCTAAAAATCAAAAAAGAAAAAATCCTGTTATCTGGAGAGCTCTGGGAGTAGCTGGCCAATGGTTAGTGTCCAGGGCCAAAGAGAAAGCCTAGATAATGGGAAGAACTCTGGATTGGGAAGCACAACATCTAGGCAGGTCCAGAAAGATCCCTGGGGCCTCAGGGCCTGTCTGATTTCTACTCAGTAAGGAGACAGGGTCTCTGACTCTATTTCCAAGTAGCTATGTGACTTTGGACAAGTTACTTTCCCTCTCTGGACCTGGTTCATCAGTAAAATAAGGCCATCTGTCTCATTGGGTTGTTATGAGAATATGTGTTTGTGCAAAAGGCTCAGAGTAGTGCCTGGAGTATGCCAACGGTGCAGGAAATGTTGGCTGCTGCCATTGTTATGCCCACGACTTCTTACAGTAAGACAGTAGGACAATTTCCCCTTCTTCCTCTTTTTACCTGTCTTTTTATTTCTAGCCAATGATGGTTTCTACTTGGTTGATTTCTACTGTTTTGACAGTTCTAGTAAAGAGCTGTTTTCAGGAGGTATCTGGGGATGACGTATGGCTGTTATTCACCCAGGAGAGCCTGCTTCTCCTCCTCTTCATAAAGTCAAGAATTGCCTGTGCTATTTTAACCAGCCTCTGTTTAGATGAACTTTCAGTCACATACTATTCCAGGAGATTTCAGTTTTATCATATGGGGAACAAGCCAATCAGTGCTACAAATGTACAGCAAGTTGTTCGAAATCTGGCACACATCTCTAGAAGGCTGCTTGCTATTTCTCTGCCTGGGGTCTTCTTTTTCTGGCCATGGGATCAGGATGGGCTGTTTGCAAAGGCAAGTGAGACATGCTGGGGGGACAATGGCTCCTAGAACCAGCCTCATAGTGAACAAGTTGGTATATAAATATTGTATTAGTTTCCCGGGGCTGCCACAACGAAGTACCACAAGCTAGGTGGCTTAAAACAACAGAAATTTACTTTCTTACAAGTTCTGGAGGCCAGAAGACCAAAATTAAGTTGTTGGCAGGGCTATGCTCCCTCTGAAGCCTGTAGAGGAGGATTAAGATGATGCAAGTGTGCTGGGGGTCTGGTGACCCAAGGGTCCATGACTCACTCTGGGTTCCGTGACTCACTCTGGGTTCTTATCTTCATGCAGGAAAGAATTTAAATTCAAGTCAGCATAGTTTAAAGTGAAAGTGAGTTTACTAGGGAAGCAGTGAGACAGAGTGGACTACTCCACAGACCGAGCAGCTCCTTTGTAGTGAGGTTTGCTTCCTTTATTGATATTTAATGAGGGGGAAGGGCATTCAGTAAAGGGGGAGGAATATTCAGGATTTTTCCAGGAAAGGGGTGGAGTCTTCCTAGAAGAGCTCCATCGGTCCTTCTATGGGCTTTCCATTTCTGACCATGGTGGCCAGTGGTATGTCGATTACTATGCTAACATATCACAGAGAGCGTGCAATGAGGCTAGGGGTTACTGTAGAGTGAAACTAGTCACCATACGGATCAAGCTGGTCTCTGCCTGTGCTAGGCCATAAATCCTACGGGGTTTGTCTAACTATCTCCTGTAGCCCTTGCTGGTTACAGCCATTGTGCCACATGCCCTACCTCACTTCCTTGTCTCGTCCAGCTTCTGGTGGCCCAAGACCAGCTTCTCGTGGTGGCGTAGTTCCAATCTCTGCCTCCATCTTCACACGGCTGTCCTTTTCCTATCAGTCTCTGTCTGCTCACGTGATGTTCTTTTTATAAGGATACCAGTTATATTGTATGAAAGGCCCACCCTACTCCAGCATGACCTTAACTAATTACATCTGCATTGACCCTACTTCCAAATAAGGTCACATTTTGAGGCACTGGGGGTTGGGGCTTCAACATACCTTTTTTGGAGGCAAAATTCAACCCATAACAAGGCAGGCCAGCTCCCACGCTCCTCAGGTGGAATAACTCTGAGCCGCATATCCTGTGCCTCCCAGAACTGTCCAGAGGGTTGAGCCCAGGTGCCACAGTGGTGACTTGCTTGTTGATATACCCTTGAGCTATCTTTACCTCACTGTCCCACCTCCTACTGGTGACCCTCGTTTCCTGGGACCACCCTCCCAAATAGGCTGCTTGTCCTCAACTTCTTATCTTGGAATTAGCTTCTGGGGACCCCCAAATTAAGAAACCATTCAAAGCCAAGCTTATATTATAACAAATAATACAACTACAGTTGCAATATATCACAGTTTTAACCCCTGTGTTACTACATCTTGATAAAAGATACTAAAAAAATGCTCAAAACATTGCAATATACACGATGCAATATGTTTCGATTACAGTTCAGCAAAAAACAAAATTACTTCCTAAAGGAAGAGAATTCAAGGGGCTCAAGATTAATAGGGGTTTACTCGTTGGATGAGAGAAGGCAAAACACGGCAATGCCCCAAATGCGAGCCTAGCAAGTCTCTCTTTGCTTCTCTCTCTCTCTCTCTCTCTCTCTCTCTCTCTCTCTCACACACACACACACACACACACACACACACACAGAGAGAGAGAGAGAGAGAGAGAGAGAGAGAGAGAGAGGCCCTGCGTATTAGCACATCCTTTCGCTTTAGTCTGCAAACACTGCAGGGCAGGGGAGTGTGCAGGCACAGATGACCTGTCAAGGATGCAGGCGACATACGAGAGAATCCCACCTGACCGTGGTGCCCAGCAGAGTGCAGTTAGGATCTCTGGGGATACCACCATTCCTTCACGAAGTCAAGGACTACCCTCTTTCAATTAAAATAATGTACATTAATGGTTAAAACATCAAATTAATGACAAAAACCCTCTGGCTGCCGGGCTGCTGGGAGGAGAAGTGAGGGCAGAAATGCAGGAGCCAATAAGGAGACTACTGCAACTATCCTGGCGGGTCATTGTGGTGGTTGGCCCAGGGTGATGGCACTGACGGTGGGGAGAAGTAGTCACACTCTTTTAGAGAGACATGACAGGTGGGGTGATGAATTTGGGATGGCATGAAGGAAAGAGGGCGTCACAGATGATACCAAGGTTTTAAGCCTGAAGGACAGAGGTGGGGAAGTCTGCAGGAGGGACGGCCTTGGGAGGGGAGACATAGGCAGCTCAGGTTGGGGTATGTTATCTTTGATATGAAACTAGATGCCAAGTGGAAGTTGGGAATATGGGCTTGGAGTTCAAGGAAAGGTCTGTGCTAAAGACATAATGTGGGAGTCACCATCCCAGAGATGGTATTTAAAGCCTGAAATGGGCGAGATCACCTCGTGTTATATAAATGAGCCAAAGATGGCCTCTGTGCGTTGGTTATTTCTTCACTATAGGCTAAGCACTGTTAGCTCAAAAGCCGGCCAGGGCTGCACAGTAACTTTGCACACCCATTTATTTTAAACATTGTCCAAATGAGCAAATGTTTAGACATTTAGGGCCCACCTGCTTTGCATACCTCTGCCAAACTCTACCCAACATCTTCTGGCCATTGATAAGATAGAGTCTTATGGTTAAAAACCCCAAGCCTTATAAATTATAAGACTTTTGCCCCACAGAGCTCTCAGACCCAGAAACTCCCTGCCACACAGCTGCGCGACACCACCAGACACAAAGGCACCTCAGATTCCCCTCACCCTGGGAGTTCTCTTGCCCTGCTCCCCTTCTGAGTAGCAACCCCAAGGTGTAGTGTCTGGACAGATTCCTGCCCTGAGGGACATCCCGCCACCTTCAAACCTGTCAGGTGTTACCCATTACCAGATAAAACACGTGTGTGCTACTGCCACCTGATGGTCATATCTTTTTTTTTTTTAAATCATTTCCCAAATCCCTCCACTAGGGAGTGAGTGTAGACAAAAGGAGACCAAAAAGTGAAGAGGTGCAATTGGCAAGCCCCAGGGTACACCGATGTTTTCCTAAACATTCATCTCAGGTGATGAGAAACCAGCAACAGAGCCGGAGGAAGAAAGGCAGGAGGGAAACCAGGTGAGTGCTGACCTGGCAGCCAAGCAAGGACGCTGTGGCAAGGAGAGGGCTCAACGTGCCAGACGCTGCCAGCAGGTCTGGGGGACGCAGAAGGACCACTTAAATCCATGGTCAGCACACTTTTTCTTAAAGAGCCAGACAGCACGTGCTTTGGGCTTTGAGGGCCACACAGGCTGGGACAACTATTCACCTCTGCCATAGAACGAGCAGCCAGGGACAGTACACAAACAAGTCAGCATGGCTGTGTCCCACTACAACCACGTTTACGGGCACCGAAATTCGAATGCCATGTGATTTTAACATGTCACAAAACTATTCTCCTTTGGCTTTCCCCCCTCAACCACTTAAAAACAGAAAAACCGTTTTTTAGCTTGCAGGCCATACAAAAAACTGGCAATGAAACAGGTTGGGCCTTCGGGCTGTACTTTGCTGGTCCCTGATTTAAATCAATCACATTTTTCTTATTTTTGTCTCCTCTCTTCCTTGAGTATGTCACCATATGACTTTAGCTACTTTGTCACTCACAGGTGATGGAAAAGAACTGGGAGAGACCCACTCCTTTGTGGAAAGTACTCCCCCAAAGCAAAGGAACCTCTGCTCCTTCCCTCCACCCTCTGGATTTCTCTACTGTTTAAAGTTTGTCGGTTTAGAATGACAACACTAAAACAGATTGAGCCCACTCAGATTTTGGAACAAAATTTCTTTAAATGCCTTGTTACCTGTCAGTGGGAAATTGAAATGTCAGCATCATTCTAGTCTTGTTTTAATATCTCAGCTAAATGCCAAAAGCTCAGATTTTTTTTATCCTCACCCGAGGACAGTTTTCCATTTTTGTTCAGATAGAGTGGGAGGGAGGGAGGGAGGGGGGGGGGAGAGAGAGAGAGAGAGAGAGAGAGAGAGAGAGAAACATCAACGTGAAAGGAACACATGGAGTGGCTGCCTCCTGTATGACCCAACCAGGGCCTGCCTCCTGCATGACCCAACCAGGGCCGTGGGCAAACTGCAACCGAGGTATGTGCCCTTAGCAGGAACCGAACCTGGGTCTCTCTCTGGACTACAGGCTGACGCTCTAACCGCTGAGCCAAACTGGCCAGGGCTAAAAGCTCAGATTTTAATGGAACTCTAAAAGAGGCAAAAAAAAGGGGGGTGGGGGGGAGTATGATATTGTTTCCTATGCTTTAAAGATTTTGCCCTTTCTCATAAAGGGTCAAAAAGCAGTGAGTACCTAATACATGTTAATGTAGACAATTAACAACTTATCAGTTGCTCTTTAAGTAGCTATTCAAGGACTTAACATTTCTTGCCATCTGACCTCTGCTACATAGTTAAATCCAAGAAAAAAACTGTAATTTAGTGAAACAAGCCAAACAGAGAAAGACAAGTATCATATGATCTCACTTATTTGTGGAATATAATGAACATAACAGTCTGAGGAATGGGGTAGTCCCAGAGACGTGGAAGTGGGGTACAGACTGACAATCTCCAGAAGAGGGGGTGGTGGGGGAGAGATAAACCACAGAACTTATATGCATGTGCGCATGAACAGTGGACATGGACAACAAACTGGGGACAGGGCAGGGAGGGAGGGGGAGGGGGGAATCAGTGGGGGGAAAAAGGAGAAACATCTGTAACAAAAATTAATTAATAAAAAAATTAATTAATTAAAAACAAACAAACAAACTGTAATTTATTTTTAAAAAATGAATACTAGCCTACAGGCAACATTCAAGTAAAGAAATTAGATACACTTGGGTCCTCACTAGAACTGCACTTAAAACCATTCCAAAATCAGGAACATTTACAACAGTGATTTTCAACCCTTTTCGTCTCATGGCACGCATAAACCAATTACTGAAATTCTGTGGGACACCAAAAAATACATTTTTTTGCTGATCTGACACAAAAAATAGGTATACTTTTGATTAGTTCACATGAGACAACTATTGTTGTGTTGGCTGTTGTCACTTTTTATTTGACAATCTAAGGGAAAAGAGGTCAGTGTCCCTGACTAAATAGTCAGGTATTGCACGTTTAAAAAATTCTTGGGGCACACCAGTTGAAAATTGCTGATTTAGAACAACATGAATCTTACTGATAAGATTTTTAGGAAATGCTTTTTTATATATAGTGTTGTTCTTGGAATATTTACAACCAATACTTTAAAACAAAATGCAAACACCTAATCTTTTTCAAAATTTTGTACATATTAAAAAATATATTTGTGACTTTTTCCATATACCACCAATAAATGAATGATTATCTGTTAAGATTTGCTTCATATGAGAGAGGGGACCAAGATGGTAACTAGTGTGTCGGGGGGAGGTCCTAAACTTCCCTCTTCCCACAGATGCACTGAGTGTACATACACTAAGCAATTCATCCTGAGAGAAATCCAGAAACTAGCTAAACGACCTCTACACATCAGATGAAGGAGAAAATGCTCATACTGAAGTGGACAGAAGGGGCCGAGGCACACTCTTGGTATAAACTCCACCCCTGGCACAGTGCCAAACAACTAAGCGGGGGGGGGGGGGATCCCCCAACTCCCAACTTCTAGGACTCCAATTTTTGAGACTCTCACTTGAGGGATGGCCTTCCAGGACACCCAGCTCTGAAAGCCAATGGGGTTTGGGTCTGAGACCCACAGGAATGCAGCAAAGCAGCAGTTCTTTACAGTGTGCAAGGACTCACCACCTCAGCACTCGCACCGCTCAGTGCAGAGGGAGCAAGCAAAGTGCCCATCTCCTAGCTTCTTCCAGGAGGCCTAACAACATTCTTTCCCAGCAGTGGCCTGAGGATTCAGCTGATAATCAGCCTGCATCTATGTGCTGACAGCAATTCCCCACTTTGGGACACGATGGGTCCGTCTTGGCACACCCTCAATACTGGGAGCCACTGAGAACAAAGATGGCAGCTTGGACAATCACAAAAGTTTGAGAGGCAACCAGCTGACTGGGCTGATGGATGTTCATTTCCTATATGAGACTAATCTGTCCAGACTGGAAGGGTGGCCGTTATATCTAACGTGCAAGCACCAACACAGAGTGAAGGAAAATGAAGAAATGGAGGAATATGTTCCAAACAAAAGAACAAGATACATCTCCACAGAGCTTAATGAAACAGAACTAAGTGATTTACCCGATAGAGCTCAAAATAATGGTCATAACGGTGCTTACCAAGGTCAGGAGAGCAATGTATAAACAAAGTGAGACTTTTAACAGAGACATAAAATATAAGTAAGTACCAAAGAAATCATAGTGAAGGAATTCATCATTACTAGACCAGCCTTACAAATGTCAAAAGGAGTTCTTCAGGTTGAAATGAGAGCTGTTAATCAACTATTTAGTAACATCAAACATATGAAAGTATGCCCTGGCCGGTTTGGCTCAGCGGTTAGAGCGTCCACCTGCGGTCCGGAGGACCCGGGTTCGGTTCCCGCTAAGGGCATGTACCTCGGTTGCAGTTTGTCCCCGGCCCTGGTTGGTCGTGCGGGTGGCAGCCACTCGATGTGTCCCTTTCACATCGATGTTTCCCTCTCTCTCTCTTCCTCTCTCTCCCTCCCACACTGTCTGTACAAAAAATGGAAAAATGTCCTCAGATGAGGATTAAAAAAAACAACAAAACATATGAAAGTATAAAACTCACTGATAAAGGTAAACACAGTTAAATTCAGAAGTGTCTTATAATTCTAGTATAAATATTAAAAGATGAAAGAATTAAAATAGCTATAACTGTAAAAATTTGTTAATGGATATAACAAAGATGTAAACTGTGACATCAAAATCATGAAATGTAAGGGGGGGGGTGCAAACATGTAGAGCTTTTGTGGATCTCTCTCTGAAGGAAATAAAATCACTGCCTTGAAAAGATATCTGCACTCCCATGTTCACTGCAGCATTATTCACAATAGCAAAATATGGAAATAACCTGTGTGTCAACAAATGAATTGATAAAGATGTGATATATATGGATATGCGAGCACGCGCGTGCACACACACACAATGGATTTATTATTCAGCAATGAGGAAAAAAAAAAGAAATCCTGCAATTTGCAACAACATAAATAGACCTTATGGAAGGCATTATGCTAAGTGAAATAAGCCAGAGAAAGACAAATACTGTATGATGTCACTTATATGTGTCATCTAAAAAAATTAAAACTCATAGAAACAGAGTAGAATGGTGGTTTCCAGGGTCTGGGGTGGTGGTGGTGGTGGGGAAAATGGGGAGGTTTCAGTCTAAGGGTACAAACTTTCATTATAAGATTAGTAAGTTCAGGGGATCTAATGTGCATTATGGTAACTATAGTTAACAGTACTGTATCATACACTTGCAAGTTGCTAGGAGTAAATCTTAAATGTTCTCACCACAAGAAAGAAATGGTAATTATGTGATGGGGTGGATGTTTTAGTTCATGTTATGGTGGTAATAATTTTGCAATAAATGTGTATTAATACATGTACACCTTACACATACACAATGTTATACCAATTATAACAATGCAGCTGGAAAAAAAAAAAAAAAGATTTGCTTCACACAATTTTAGCCTACCTCTAAGCTAAAATATCCTAATTGGCACCACTGTATATCTCCAGGTACCCTAATCCAGTGGAGAAATAAGATGGACAATACAAAATGATTTTACTTTTCGACTGCCCCTCTTTATATTTCACATCACTCTGCTGGCTGCTAGATGTCCAGAGGTCATGGAATTATCCGTTCACCTGCTCCAAAGGTAGATGTCCACTTTACTAACGAGACAAAAACATTGTGTATTTAGCTGCACTCATTGTGTGGGTGTACAAATAGAAGTATTTCTCAAGCAGTGGTTCCTCGGTCAGCAGCAATAGCATCACCTGGAAACAGGAATGCACACATTTCTGCCCCACCTCAGACTTACTGAATCAGACTTTGGTGTGGGGGCCCAACAATCTATTTAACAAACCCTGTAGGGGATCCTGTTGCATATTAAGTTTTCAAACCACTGATTTAAATCATCAGTACTCAAAGGTTAGAGTTAACTTGCTACTGGTGCGTGAGCTCAGTCCCGTCAACTCCAGGGCAGCTACGTGGGCACAGGGCCTTGGCAGTGCAGACCCCCAGACTGAATGAACAGGATGGGACTTGGAAACTGGCTGAGTCCCAAGGAGGAGATGGTTCTAACACTGACCAGTGGAGACCAGCCACCACTAAATGAAGTATGTGCACACATTGTGTTCCCCTTGACCAAACTTGACTGGTTGTATGTGGGTGACAACTGCAAGGACAGTTTGCAAAGACCTGTTCAGTGAGGTGCTAATCAGTGCACATTTTCTTACTCAGACCATGTGTCACAAGCTGTCGAAAGCCAGTGAATTCGGTGTCACAGACGCATCATTAATGTCAGTCCAATGGATCATGGTAGGGAACACTTTTATTCTTTAAAAACAATTGTTTTAATAAAAGGGAATAAAAACTGTACTTGGTAATCACATTGGCCATTATCAGAATAGTACATGCCATTAGGAAAAGCAAGTTCTTTTTCTCTGATGCTCCTCGCTGGGTGATCTACATCTATCGATACTGTAACGATGTGAGCAACACACACAATGAGCGCGTTCAGCGAGCAAGACTCACGCACAAAAGCCTTGGCTTACTTTAAACACTTTTCTTGGTTGCAGCACATGACCAAATAATGTGATTATATTTTTTCAGAGCTTAGAAAGACCACCTAATCATGCCAGACTCAACAAACCAGCATTAATAATCACCGAAAAAGGCACTTTAAAATACATTTGACAAGGAGTGACACTAATGCAATGAGAGCTGGTCTAAGCCCTGTGCTAAACATTGTCAGAGTTCACAGAGATAATGCATTCTGTCTCTCTGTGTGTGTATGTATAAATATCTATATGTATGAGTATATACCAGCATCCACATACAGAAGGTCCTCGAGTAACATCGGCTTGCTCAATATCATTTCATTATAACATCGATGAGATGCTAGAGAACTTAATTCTTGTTTCTATGAACTAGCCTATGGTAAAATTGGTTTCGATATACATCGTTTTTGCTTAGTCACAGAATCTACTGACGTTAAATGAGGACTTACTGTACATATGTATGTGTATACACCTATCTCCATAAGCCTCTGGAGAGGGGAAAAACTCTTTCTTTCCTTTAACTGAATAGTATGCAAAACTTCTGATCACTTAACTTAGAACAAAGAATGAGATTGGTAAACTAATGCAAAAAGTACCATACTACACCTTTCTATCAACAACAACAACAAAAAGCAACAAAATAAATACTTGAACTTCTCTAGGTTGTCAACTATTAAAATAAAAAAATCTGGAATTGTAAAAAGGTTTCTTCCACTGTAGGGGACAGGGTGGACATTTTTGGTACTGTAAATCTAACACACTCATACATCTGTATTGCTTAAGTAACAGAGTGGAATGAACAGGGAAATTTCTTCCACAAATTCCTTCCTTTACCCACCAAGTTTTAGCTATCCTGTATTATTCGGCTTAGCTTAACACATAAACAAAGTCTTATATAAATATATTTTTAGGATGTCTAAATTTTCAGGATACCTGCACAGAGTACTAAAATACTGAGGGCATTGTGGTGAAACAAACAGACTTGGCCACATCTTAGTCCACTGCACAGCCCAGGCGTGGGTATCTTGGCTCAAGATTTTCACAGACCAGCCCATCTGTCAGAGGTGAGTAAAAGGTTATTTATCTTTCCCAGGAACAGGTGTGAACACATGATCTTATTTCTTAGGATATGAAAAACCAATTAGTAATAACATTTAAAGTTTAATTACTAAATGTATAATGCCTGAGAACAAAAATCAAAGCAAATTTTGAAAGGTTAAGAGTCAGACTCTGGGCATTTCCGTTTTTTAGCTGCTGGTTCTTCAGTCTTGTGTAATTCTAAAGTGCTTGAGTTGGATTTGAGACTGGGATCTGTTTTAAGGCTGTCCATGGCAACAGTGAAGCCTGAGAGAAGGTATCCCCCACCTCCACTCATCAGTAGTTTGGGATGACTTCGATCTGGCAAAACCTAATCAAGACAGAAAGACAGACACTCATGTTTTTCTACGCAGGTCAAGTACATGCTAACAATATACACACCAGAAATCAGAATTTAAATGACACAGATTCTCTTGAAGATTTAAATGGACCATTTCTTAAGGAGCCCCTCCCTTTAATAACACTAATAAAAGTATAGAAATTGGTTTAAGTGATTTTCTTGTGAAAAACAAAACTGAAGCTGTTTCTCTTAAACCTGAAGCAAGTTTCTGGTGGCAAATGGACAAATGGTTTGTGTAGTGTTCTGGGCCTGAGATTTCTTCCCCTAAGCTCCAGGATGCTTCATGTCTTCTTGGTTAACAGCAGGGCTTGGGTTCATGAAGAGGTAGCTACTGGACATACACCAGAGCCTCCCTGTTAACTCAGACAAGACTTCTTCTCTGCTGCTACCACAGCTAAATAAGATGGCTGCAGGAAGGACACGATGGCCAAGGGCTATAGTGTCCTGTATTAAGCAAGATGTCCAAGTGGCAGGGCAGGGCCTGTGGCGGCATGGAAGTGTTCCCCCAGATCTCTCAAGAGGGAACTGGCTGTGAGGATTCCAAGCAGCAGGAAGTCTCTAGCAGCTGCTCCTTTGGGATCTGCTATAGCATTCACTCCCAGCAAGGCCATGGCTGCTCCAAGTCAATACCTAGGCAGGGCTACCAGGACTGCACCATTTCTGCCCAACACAGGGCTCCTTTAACGGGAAGTCTTTGCTCCCCATGATTCTAGCTGTCAACTTCTCAGAGACGCACTCTAGGCCCTTCCCCTCCTTTCCCCCTTCGCCTTCCTCTTTCATAGGCACCAGACCTGCATTATGGTCTGGCGACTCTCCCCACCTAATCCTGCTCCCACCCCTCATCTTTCAAAGACATTTTCCCTGATAAAATCTCTTACACTTCTAATTCCATCTTGACATATGCCTTCCAGAGAACCTGAACTGACACGGAGCCCATCAGTAAATCCTGAAAACTTGCTGCAAGGACATCCGAGCAGAGAGGAGAGGGTCACTTTTCTGGCCTGGGGATTTTTCTATTATCAATTATTTCCTCCACAGTGATCTTGAGACCTTGAGTAAACACAACCACAATGGTTTGCATTTTAAATGTCTCTGGACTAGAGTTACAGAGTAACAGATCCTGACATGAAAGGAGAAAAAAAGGGTCAGGATAGATTAGGGCCCTTTCTCTGAGTTACAGGTATGAGACTGTTTCATCTTGATAGACAGAAATAGTGACATCTGTATTTAACAACATCTGGCACTACTGCAAGGAGCCGGAGACTCAGAGAGCAGCTCCTGGGACTGGCTGTAAGAACACGTACCTGGTAATTTCTGAGCCAGGTTTCAGACAGTCTGAGGTTGATGACCCCTCCTCTTTCCCGCAGTTTTGTGTAGCACTCCAACAGAGGCTGAAGGCATAAAGAAAGTTCTGTTAACTACTTCTAGGGACACAATTTGAGAATCAATATTTGGATACAAGAACCCCCCTCCATTCCGTTTTAGTAGTACCTCTTTATACTGACAGTAGACCACGAACGGCCTTGAAGGGGCCACGAAGTCCAGCAACGACAGCAGCAGTGGGGTGGGATGGAAACGACTGGCTACAATTAAACTGCAAGAAAGATGCTGGATATATTACTCTCTATGCCTCTAAAATGGAGCATAGGTTTCAAACTACATCTAAAATATCCATGTATTTATTAGTGTGACTTACATAAGGAGGAGCTTTAAATACAATGCTCCAGAAATTCCAAATAAAATCATGAACTATTAATTTCTGGGAAACACAAACTGAATTATAAGCTCTCTCGGTACTTGGCAACTCCAAGTAGCATTTGACATTCTTGATTTAAAACTATTATCTGGAAACAAATCCAACACAGTGACGCTGGCTTTGAGGCACCAGAATCTCTCTTCTTGGCAGGTCTCCTTAGCCCTCGCATTAGCCAGTTTCACGTCAATCTCAACGCCCCACCCACCACCCACAGCTGCAGCTGATGCACCATCACTGGAGAAATCTCAAATTTCTTTGAAAACTCTGAAACCAGCCCAATTTCCCACCTCCACCAGATGCAACCTCCTTCCTTCAAAAACCCAAGACAGAACCATCATCTCTGCTCCCACTAGATTCAGAGCAGACAAGCAGAGAATGTTCATCTCTGAGGCAGAGCCCACGCGCAGCAAGGTGTCGCCTGCATTCTTTCATCAACGCACCCATCTGCATTCCTTTCACCCAGCAGAGCAGCAGCCTCTAAGTGTCTTTTCCTCTGCTCTTCTTGTCTTCTCTGCTTTTCCTGAATCTTCAAGAAAAATAAGAAACCAATGTACTGAGGTCATTCAGTCAGGCTTATGGAAACGCTGGCCTGTCAAAACATTTCAACAATATTTATCAACTCGGACTAAAGCAACAGAAGGTCATTTATAAGGAAGCTGAAAACACAAGAAAGCCTAGAGGTTATAAAACCATCATTCAGCTGCCTATATACAATGTTTCTATATCATAAAGTTCTACCCCAAAGATTATATCACGTGTGTGTGCAGCACCCACACACACACTCTTTCTCCATCTGCTGTGATACGTACTATTTTGGGAGCTGACGCTGCAAAGCCAAATCAATCTCAGTGCTTAAATAAAATTAACTGAGGTCCTGAGGGGGGTATTATGAGGGCTGTGGGGACTCTTTAACATTCTTACATAATCCTTTTTACTTCCTCTCTCTTTAGGCTCCTTATACTCTGGATCTTGAGAGACAATTTCCATAGTTTCTTGTTCTTTGGGGTGACTGCTATCTGGGGCCTCTGCCATGCTGTCTTCATTCTCTTGTTCTGAAGTCTGTTTGTCCTCCAGTGTGCCATTACTTTCTTCAACCGAAGCACCCTCTTTTGGCTCTGAAGACAACATCTCAGCAGAAAATGTCCCATTTAGGAGACTGTCCACTTTGTTGAGGGGGAATTCATAAAGACCACTGAGGAAAGATTTCGGAAATCCAAAACATGCTGTTGCTGCCCGAACTGGGCCACCTCCAGGGTACAGCTGAATAATGGAGCCAAAACCTGAACAGACAAAAGAAACAAACATCTCTTGATGAAGGTGACTCAGATTTTGCAAATCATCAGCGTTCATCACAGTGTGAAGACTAAAGGTCTCTCTACTTCACTCTGTTCAGAGGCTGACAGATGACGCAGGAGCTCTGAGAGTTTGGAGTCTATAAATATTCCCAGTGGATGCAATGTAATTCCAAAACAGATAAACAGGAAGTCTTAAACAGGCTTACTCCCACTTGACACTGCAGTAAAACCCTGTGATTGTGCAAATTTGGATGTCGCATGATTGGTGACTGGTTCTCAGCTTCCCTCAGTCCAGTGCCATTACTTCCAAACAAGATAGTTAAAAGTAATTTATATATGTGTGTGTGTGTGTGTGTGTGTGTGTGTATATATATATATATATATATATATATATTTATATTTGTGTATATATATGTATATATTTTCTTTTTTCCATTGATCTTTAGAAGAGGAAGGGGAGGGGGAAAGAGGGGAGGAGAGGTGGGGGGGAGGGAGGGGAGGGAGGGGGGAGAGGGGGAGAGAGAGAGAAACATCAATGTGAGTGAGATGGTTTCCCAAAGAGGGCTGGAGAGTGAACCTGCAACCCAGGTATGTGCCCTTCACCAGGAATCGAATGTGAGATGGTTGCCCAAAGAGGGCTGGAGAGTGAACCTGCAACCCAGGTATGTGCCCTTCATCAGGAATCGAATGTGAGACCCTTTGGCTGATACTCTAACCATGGAGCAATACTGGCCGGAGCAGCAGTTAACAGTTATTATCTTCTATAGGTCAGAGAAAGGGCAGGCAAATTAGGTTGAGTTGTATCTTCCAGGAGAGAATATATCCCTAGTATTTTCCCCACTTAGTTCAGGACAAGAAGATGAGCACCAGCTATCCAAGAGTTTACTGAAATCACTGCTCTGGAGGTCTTAGCCAGCCACAGGCTTGAAAATCATCCCCACTGCTACTGAAGCTTGGGAGAACAACTGCCATATGGGGTGCCAACACAGCGCAGGCTGGGAGATGCGGACTGTGTAGGATGGTCCTGGGGACTGGAGCTGTGCAGGCACAAGTCATTTCAATAACCTTACAGGAATGACACCTCATTTTCCATAAGATTAAATATTTAAATTTTTAGACCCCTCTACTCAAATCATAAACTTAAAATGTTAAAACTTACCTCCCATTCGTTCCATCATTGCACCCAGCACTAAGCCTGCACACGTTTCCATTACAATCATTTTATTGCCAGCACGAACATTTCCCAATGTCAACATCTGGGCTAGTGTATCATATCTCATGTGGCTAAAAAAAATAAAGAAAAGAAAAAAGATGATTCATTCATTTTTAGCTAAGCAAGGCCTGTTATTTTAATCATCATTTTTCAAGTTTTGTTCATAAAAAAGTATGTTGATAAAATTATCGATTGCTTTGGAGGCAACAGTAAAAAGAACTTACAATTTATGAAGTAGGAGGATACTTTATGCAGGTGAGCAAGTTTTTCATTTTACTTAAAATCATGACTTTCTTAAAGAGAAATTTTCCCCTAATTATACTTTTGAAAGGAAACAAAGCGTACTTAATTTTTCCAGGTTCTCTGGCATAATACATAATTGAAAGGATGCGGGTGGATGGCTTCACAATAGTAACGATGGCTTCATATCTGGGGGAAGAAAAAACAGAATGCCGTATTTTAAAAACTGGTTTAAATATATTTTATTTTTAATAATATATACACACACACACATATTTTTTTGGTACGTGCCCCTAGCCGCTAGGGCCTAGCGGGAACTGAACCCAGGACTCTCTGGTCCTCAGGCTGACGCTCCAACTGCTGAGCCAAACCAGCCAGGGCAATAATATGTTTTTTAAATCTACAAAAAGATTTAATGTTTCCATCCTTTTCAAACAAAAACTTACTTCTTTTTCTTCTTTTTAATATATTTATCTTGAGCAAATTCTGTCTTGTCTCGGAATGTTGTGCTATTTTCAATTAATTGCTGAACTATTTCCTATAAGAAAAGGAGCAAGCAGATTTCCTGAAATTTTCTTTTCACAGAACAGATCACTTCCAAGGTTTCTTACCCAGAATGTGTCCAAAGGTCTGATTCTCCAGTCCCCTTTCCACAGAAATCCACATAGATGAACCTTGTAATTTTTTATTCTATCTAGATTTGTATTAAAATACAAGCCTGTATAACTCCATTTAAACCAAGGTAAAAGAAGAGAGATATACAATAAAAAAAGGAGAGAGGGAAAGGAAATTGTCATTCTTGAAGACTCTGGCTGAAAACATTACTGAAAATAAAGTTAAGCTCTAATATGCGCTAAGTTATTAAAGTTTCTTTTGCTAACAGTATTAGCAATATCATTCACTTACATTCCTGCATAAAGAAATGAAATTGTTGATATACTGAATTGCATGTACATTCCAAGCTATTTCTAACAAGTATGCAGTATTTTTACATTTTACCTTAGGTAAATTCTGCTTTAAAAACCAAGCAATTCCCTAAATACCAAATAAAAACAAAACACAATATCCTTTGAATATTACCTCTCCTTTAATGCCCTTGTCCTTTAAAGCTTTTATGTCATCTTGAGTAAGTTTCTGAGATTTCCCGTCATCAACTATATTTCGATTATCAGTGCCCGCTTCTTTGGTCTCTAAGGAAGGAAATTGCTTTATGACATTTATGTTCTGAAATTATTTTTAAGATCTTCCTTCTTCTAAGTTCTTATCTATCTCCAGCCCATCAATCACTCAAATTTAGCCTTCCAGTTCCAGCGGAATGTACATGCAAATTTGGCATTCTAGTTCCACCCCAGCCTACTACCCACTTGCCATGACTACTCTAAGCCTCTAACTCATCTTCCTGGTCCCTCTCTTACCCTCATACAATCCACCTGGAAAGCAGAGTTCTCTTCAAAATGCAAACTGGCTCACCTATTCTGATGCACAAAACTACAAAGAGGCTTCCTATAGCAAATAGAATACAGTCCAAAGACGACCTGCAAAGTCCTGTAAGATCTGGACCCTGGCTACCTTTTTCTGGTCTCATTTTGTGACCCCCATACTCAACCACACTGCCCCTCTTTCTGTTCCTAAGCCCTAAGCATGCTCCCACTGCAGAGCTTTGGTACTTACTGCCCCCTCTGCCTGCAATGCCCTTATAACAGATGTGAATGGCTGGATCCTTTCCATCACTCAGGGCTGAGCTCATCATCTCAGCCAAGTCTCACCCCATCCAATCAGCCTCTAATACACCTCCCTGCTTTGTCATCTTCACAGCACACATCACCATCTGAAATGACCCTCTTTGCTTACCTACTAGATTATTTTTGGTGTTCCCCATTAATACATTTTATGAGATGATACATATCATGAACTGCTATAATCACAATGAGTAACCATGCCTGGAACATATTTGGTACTTAATAAAAATATGGATGTTGATTTAAAAGTACTTAACTACCTGGTTTGAACCAGAACTTTAACAGTATTTTAATTATTTAATTTAAAATTTATTTAAGGCCCGGAAGGGGTGGTTCAGTGGATTGAAAGTCATCCCATGGACTGAGAGGTCCTGGCTCAACTCCTGATCAGGGCATGTGCCCAGGTTTTGGGCTCAAACCCCAGTAGGGGATATGCAGGAGGCAGCCGATTAATGTTTCTCTCTCACTTGATGTTTCTACCTCTCTCTCTCAAAAAAATTAATAAAAACATATTTAAAAAACTAAGAATATTTATTTTATTAATAAAATATGTTAAGTACATTTATTCTAACAAATTTTAAATTTTAATTCTAATTAATAACAGCTAAAATTATGGGACCTTTATATAAGCAAGGCACTATTAAGAACTTTCTATGTGTCATGTGACTGAATGCTCGCTATAGCCTAGGTATTAAATGTTTATAGCCTCACTTTACAGATGAGGATATAAGACTTAAAGAAACCAAATAACTCGCCCAAGGTTACAAGGCACGTAATAGAGTTGAAACTTAAAACTAGTCAGCTGAATTCAAAGCCAGACTTCTTAACCTCCACCAATGTTAACTACCTCAAAGCTTTGCTCAGCTTCTGGGCACTGAAAAGGCTCTGCATCTGTTCTTACATGGAAGCAGCAAGGACTCATGGGACTAAATGCCTGGCCCAAGGTCAGAGAGTCAGTTAATGATGAGCTGGAGACAGAAGCCAAGTGTTTCAAAGCCAAAGGCAGATCTTGCTTCATTTCACCAAGCTCTAGTTCTTAGATTAGGAGTTTAGATTTCTTTGAAGATAGGTTGGGCTAGCACTTTAGAATTACTTGGGGTTGACAGGTTTCAGACTAGCCAGCTCAAGAGCACCTATTATATATACCCAAAGTAGTGCACCTGAAGTAGGCTCTTCCTTTTTCTTCGTAGGCTGAAGACTTCCTCCACTGGTCACTTCAAATGTGGTTCCATAACTATAGCCAATGACGTTATCCAGATAGAACCACTGTTTTTCAAAAGTTACTTTTCTGGGGAAGAAAATGCAATCAATTAGCTAAATCGTATTTGCATTGCATACAGAAAAGACAGGTTCAATCTAGTCTATTTCAAAACTAGTCTACACAAAGAATGATCTACAGCATTATCTCTGAACACAAACTGACAAATGAACTAGAAAGAATCAGGTTGGGGCAGAGATGTAACATTAATAAAGAAGCCACATAAATACTGATTTTGGAATGAGAAACAAGGACAAGACATTCCTCTTCTGAGGCACTGGTCTTACTTCATTTAGCACTATCTGACAGGATGTCCAAACTCACAGGCTTTAGAGATTCCCTAAATAGCATAAAAAGTTGCCAAGATTGCCAGGCCAATGGACACACACTGACACCCCTTGCAACTTACCTAAGAAAATCTCAAAACTGAACAATCATTGAGGGACAGGGATTTACTAATTCCCTAGCCTACACAGCTATTGTCTTGAAAAATTACCTAGTAAAAGCAAATTACATTTATAAATAAACATTATGGACACTAGACACACTTGGAAATGGTGCCTAACACTGATGGTGCTCTGCTGAGGACCAGGTGATTTTAGCTTTTCCCATTACCCAGATTTTCTTTTTTTTTTTTTGCAGTGAGATTAACATTTATTGAGTATGGCTCATTACAAACAAAATCCCACTACCCAGATTTTTTATCTTTTTAAATTTTAAAGGGAAATTCTAAAAAAAAAAAAGAAACAAAAGACTGTCCTTTCTTAAAAAGAAATCTAACATCAGTTGAGCATCAGTCTGGGGCTAGGCAATGTGTACCAGGTTGGCAATGTGAACTAGGCAATGTGTACTAACTTAATTCTCACAGTTATCCTGGGGCATAGCTCTTTGCAGATGAGCAATGTGAGGCTTATTGTCTTGTCCAAGATTCACAGTTAAAAAGTGGAAGCTAGGATTCAAATTCAAGTCTGCCTGCCCCTAACACCTGGTTCTTTCCACTATACCACACAGTCCACCCACCAAAGACCAATGGATCTCAGGATGTCCTGCCTAGCTTCAGGACATGGCCCACACTGACAGAACTCTGAATCTTGGAAGACATGTACTGGTTAATTTTCTTTGTGCCCACCCCACACCTTCTCTTCCTTTCTCTGTGCCCCTGGAGGCTGACCACGACAGAATGCAAAAGATACATCAACCAGGCTTCCTTGAAGAAGGTTTCCTACTACTGCTAGTCTCTGGGTGCATCGCTAGTATCTACTGGTTCTCTAAACCTTGCCACCCCTCTGAATGTATATGTGTCACATCTTCATTAAATCTCCTCACTTGAACCATCTGAGTGAATTTCTGCAAGATCCTAAGTGATAGAGCCAACTCTCTGCTTTGCTGAGTCTTCAGTTCCTAATACATAACAGACACTGAAAATATTTGCTGATATAAACACTGGTAGAGAAGCTGAAACTCGGCTCAGCCTAGATGTGTACCCCACCTCCCAAGTCCTTTGAGTACCCAGTGCTAATAAAACACTGGGTTGAGTTTACCCCTCTGGTAGTTGGCCTGATGTGCAAAAGATCCTGTGTCACGGAAACTGACTGGCCTGACAAGAGGTCACTGTCCTAGTTGGGAAAGTGGGACCCAGTCAGAGGGATGTGGAGGCAAGTCTTTGCTAGTAAAGAGTGGGATTTGCAATTTCCTTCTAGATACCTAGGATTGCTTCTGCCCAACCAGATGAGTGTAGCACTAAGGGAAGACAGAATCTGGCCTGGGATGGAGCTGAGTTCAAAGGGTAATTTTCTAAATAAAATGTAAACTAATGCTGTGGTTTCTGGCAAGGAAAGGGATGAAGAGTATTTGCAAGTTTAAAAAAATTATAAAGAATACTTTTTCAAAATAAAGATGTCCTGACTGCCTCGTTAATGAAAAAGTTCTTGTCTAAAAGAGTACATTATTAAGAAGCACACACAAACAACTGCATTTCAAAATTAGGCTACTTAAAAGGACAGAACAAGAAAAAAAACAACAACAAAATTTAACCTACACGGTCATTATACAGTTGTGCAACTTTGATATTCATAGAACTTACAACCCAAGAATGTTGGTGCACTATTATATTTCAATTAAAAAGTTTAAATAATTATTGGCACTTTCCAAAACTTATGTACTTGGAAGCAAGCACACATTTCTAATTAGATATTCTGAAAAAAGAAATTACTGGTTTCAAGAATACAAAAACACAGTAGTGATAAGGGATACACTATAAAATTTCTCTAATTTCAACCACCAAACGAGTACTTTATCAATGGAGAATTTGAAAATGTTTAAAAGCTGGCATATATAAATGCTTCTATTTCTGGACTTAAAAAAAAAAAAAAAAATCCTTCCCCTCTTTTTTTTCTCTTTAGTGGATCGGTGTTTGTGCAAAAAAGCTTGGTTGTCACCATTTGGTGCTTTGTGGACTGTTACTAGACTATTTTCTTATGACACCTGTTTCACTTCAAATACCAGTTACAGTGTGATTCACAAAGAAGTAAAATAATTCATCTGAACTGAATATGTATCAGAAATTTCACATCTCACAATATCTGGACTTATGGTCTGCTAGCTAGTCTCTTAACACTGCATTGAACTCTGCTTCTTTGTCAAAAGTACTATAACAACCCAACTCAAAAGAAAGCTTGGTTATACTTTTCAGATAATTATCCAAAACACGTCAATACATTTTCACCACTAACAAGCAATTAAGACTTAACAACCTCACCATCTCTGCTAAAAGTTATCAAAATTCCCACTTTTCTAATACGAACCCAAAGTATTTGTATTAGTATCTAATACTAATCAGCAGGTTCACAAACTAAAGCGAATTTCCTGTTCTGACACCTTGAGCAAACTGCATTTGTGCAATTTAACTTTTCCAAACCACGCATTCCTGGTTTTTGTAAAACTTGGAAATCCTAGAGTGATCACACCTTCTACAGGAAGTTACTCAGTGTAGATAGGTAGGTAGTCCTATTAGGTAGAGAAAAGGGCCCAGAAGACGACACAAAGTCGGAAAGGTTTAATTTTAGTGGGATTGATCCTGGCTGAGGGATTAGGGAGGAAGAAGCGTCCATGGGGGGGGGGGGGGGCAGAGGCAAGTATGAAATCAGAGGGTGAAGGGTGGGTCCTGGAAGAAAACAGGAGAGAAGATCTTAAGGACCTAGGGGAAGAACCCCAAGACAGGGGGTGGGGTGAGCGTGGTGGTGGGAGGTAGGGGGGGCACATGAGCACTCAAGGGCCAAAAGTGGAAAAGGGGCTCTGTGGAAAGACTAAGGATGCTGAAGGTATAGGGCCAGGTATGAGGCCACGGAAGGGGGACTCTGTAGGACGGCAGGAGGGATAGGGGAGGCCCTGAGGGCCGAGGGTGGGCTCCTGGAGGAATGGCCTCTGTGGGAAGATCTGAGAGGCGATAACTAGAGGATGCTGGGGATGCAGAGCGCCAAGAATGGGACCCGGTGAGAGGGTTACGTGGGAAGACATGAAGGGAGGGGGTATCTAGAAGATAGGGCGTTGGGCCCCTAAGGTCAGCGACCTGACTCACTTTCTACGCTGAACTTGCACTGCTTTGAACACATCTTCCCGTTTCAGCACCACGAAGTCGCCGTCGCGGATGCGGTGGTCCCCGGGGTGCGGTGGCTGTGGGTCCGGCTGCTCCCCTGAGCTCTCCATGACGCTCAGCGGGTCGCCCGACTCCGCAGCCTCTGTCCAGACCCCCGCGCCCCGCCGCTGTTCCACAGCGGTCGCCGCAGCCAGCTTCAGTTCCCACAGACTGAGAGGACGCAGAACCCCCCGAGCGGCACCGCCCCCACGTGCTGAGCGCCGCTTCCGCTTTCCGGTCGGAGCCTCTGGACGGCTTCCGGAAGCCTCAGGTTTCCGTCTGGCCAACGCCTGGATTGGCTGCACTCCGTCCTGTCCTTCCCGCCTCCCCGCTCCTTGGGCGGAAGTTGCGTCACAGCCGCGCCAAAAAAGAACTTGGAAGGAGGTTAAACGTCAGTTTGAGGTGCTACACATCTGTCCGCGAGCCTTCGAGGACGTAGTGGTCCCTGAGGGACTCCGACAGATGAAATTCGGCCCCGCGCGGGGACGGCGGGAGAGCTGCGGCTGAAGAGGACTGCTGGACTTGGGCCGGGGTCATCCGAGGACCGCGGCGGCTCCTCGGCCCGCCGGGCTTCTCCCCGAGGGCTCTGCTCCTACCGGGAGCCTGCCCCGGCGGGAAGTAGGAAAGCTTTGGGATCTATCCTTTGCCCGTAAGAACTTACCCTGAAGAGACTTAAGTGAAGTAGGGTATTTAACGAAGCACAGCAGCTCACGGATGGCTCCTTGATTAATTTTCCAGACCTACTTCTTGCCTTTGTGTTGGTATTTTTACTAGTTATTTTCACCCCCATTATGTCATTTGAGAAAGATATGGCACGTAGCGTTGTCGAAGGAGCGCTTGCACTGGGGAGTCTGAAGACGAAGTTTTGAGCTCGGGACTGCGGCCAGTTAACTTTGATCTTGATCGATTTCTTTGGGCTTTAGGTTCTTAACGCGTGATGTGTTCCTGATGATTATCAAAGTCCGTCTTGCCCTAACATCGTTAACTTGTTTTGTTATTAATTTACTACTTAAATCCCTGAAGATTCGGATACACGCTCTTCTAATGAGTTGCACTACTATATGCGGATGTTATTTTTATATTTAGGATATGAATTATTCTTTTTAAAAGACTTTTAGAACAGTTTTAGGTTTACAGAAAAATTTCACAAAGTGCTGAGAGTTCCCATATGTCCCTCCCCAAATCCCCCTATTAGTATCCTGCATTAGGGTGAGATTTGTTGCAGTGGATGGAACAAATTCAATACATTGTTAGCTAAAGTCCATAGTTTATTTTCATTAGGGGCCTATCTTTGTGTTGTACAGTTCCATGAGTTTTGACAAATGCATAATATATCCGCCATTACAGTATCATACAGAATGGTTTCATTGCCCTAAAAAAGCCCTGTGCTGCACCATATGAATTATTTAAAAATTTATTTTTAAAGGTCATAAGCATCCATTATACTTGGTTAAACATCTGTACCATAGATGGGGAACCTTTTTTTCTGCCAAGGGCCATTTGGATATTTATAATATCATTTTTGGGCTATACAAAATTATCAACTTAAAAATTAGCTTGCTATATTTAGTCAGGCTAATTTGGTGAGGCCTATGATGTTAACTGGTATTGATTTCGCAGGTGCGGGCCAGACATTCCCCACCCCTGATCTATGGTATACTTTAAAAAGAGATGGGAATTAGAAGAGTAACTGCAGATTTGAAGAGTAAGGGTTTTATATCCTGGTGTACGATATTGCAAGCCTGTTGTCTAGTGTCAAATAGAATATATTCTTTTTCACTTTTTTACTAGTTAATGCATTTTTAGAAGCACTATTTCCCCTATAATTTTGATGAAGACTTTCCTAATTGCTATCTTTTAGAAGACATGAGTGGAGAGTATAGAGGCAGAGGATTTGGACGAGGAAGATTTCAAAGCTGGAAAAGAGGAAGAGGTGGTGGGAGCTTCTCAGGAAAATGGAGAGAAAGAGGACACAGACCTGACCTGAGTAAAACAACAGGAAAACATGCTTCTGGTAGGGAAGGTCAATGATTGCTCAATTTTTAAAATTTTTTTTTTATGAAGGCATCTATTCATGCCTGGCATACAGGCAGTTTAACTTAAATTTCAGTCTGTTTTTTATTGATGTTACCCTTTAAAGTAACATCGTGTGCATCGTCACCAACATGGCCTCGCAATGAGGCAAAACACGTAAACTACACTCAGCTCATCAACCTGCACGTCCAATATGCTGAGCGCAGTTTACGGATCCTGGCTTTCCCTTGCAACCAGTTCTGGAGGCAGGAGCAGGGATTGATGCCAGAGATCAAAGAGTTCGCCGCTGGCTATAATGTTAAATTCAATATGTATAGCAAGATCTGTGTGAACGGAGATGGGGCCTACCCTCTGTGGAAGAGGATGAAAGTCCAGCCCAAGGGGAGGGGTATCCTGGGAAATGCCATCAGATGGAACTTCACCAAGTTCCTCATTGGCAAGAATGGTTGCGTGGTGAAGCGGTATGGTCCCATGGGAGAGTCCCTGATCATAGAGAAGGACCTGCCCTGCTACCTCTAGCTCCACAAGTGTGCACCTCCATCTGAGCCCACCGCCCGTGCCCATCGGAGCCTTCCACCCAGCACCTATGATAGTCTGTCTAAAAACCAGCCCACTGGTGGGACAAACCCGAGAACCTGGCGTGCACCCCTGCCAGAGAAAGGCCCCTTGGCCAGGCCTGGCTTGAAGCTCGGCACCCCCATCCTGGCTGCCTTGTAGGAATAAAACATACAAATTGGAAAAAAAAATAAAGTAACGTCTGAATGTTAATATCCAAAATTTTTACTGAAGCCTATCATTTAGATACTCTATTAATATGTCAAGTTCTCGTTGGTAGGAAAAACAAATTGGAAAAAGATGTTTGCTCTGTCTCTACTAAACTAGTTTTCTGTTTTGTTTTGTTTTCAGAACAAACCTCACCATCTTTGCTAATACAGTCCACACTGGATCAGTCCATACCATATAAAGGCTGGAAGCTTTATCTCTCTGAAGGTAGAATTAGTAGTGCAAAAAGTACCATAAATTATATTTTCTTAACTTGTCTTTGGATGCTACATCTCATAGTATTATAATTCATTTGTTTACTGATATATAGCCCTTTCTTTAATGTTAGTTCACCCAAACAATTAAATCATGTTTGTTTCAAGAGCATTGAATTTAGGTTTTATATCAGTCAGGAGAATAGAAATCGCAGTAGCTCTTTCAAAAGGGGAATTTAATTCAGGGAATTGGTTATAAAGATGGAAGACTAAACGAGCAAAACAAAAGACAAGGTTACTAGAACCTAGGAATTCAAAGGAAGGGCCATAGCAAAACTTGTTTTGATCGCTGAGGTGCACCCTAAAAACACTGCTTAGATAACTGAGGTGAATGAAACTGGTTGTTGCTGGTAACTGGTGGAAGGATGGCACAGCTGGTGCTCAAAGCTGGACGCTGGAACTGTGACTCTTCTGCAGCCTAAGAGATGCTAAAGAGAACTGGAAATAAGAATAAATTATTTTCTTCTTCCTAACAACTTCCAGTCTCTAAAGTGCCTCCAACTGACAGAACCTAAAGTGGTCTGGGAAATTCAGTGTTCAGATCTTGATTGTAAGATCACACAACAGAAAATAGAAGGGTAGGCTTGGAACCAAGAGATGATAACCAACACAGGTTTCTGCAGAAGCAGTTAGGGAATCTCCTTTTATATTTAAGAACACCAGCTAACATCATACATCTGTCTATATAGGTATGGGGAATTGTTTTTTCCATGCTCTTATAGTATCTATATGTTTATTATATCTATTATGAGATATGAGGTAGATAGATAGATCAGTAGTTTTTTCCACTTTACCAGTGATTTTTTCAACCAATGTGCTGCAGCACACTGGTATGCCACAGAATTTTTTATTTAAAAAAATTTTGTTAATCTTCACCCAAGGATATTTTTTCCATTGATTTTTTTAGAGAGAATGGAAGGGAGAGAGAGGGAAGAAGAAAAGCATTGATGTGAGAGACACATTGGTTGGTTGCCTCCCGAATGTGCTGCATTCAGGGTGGGGAACTGAACCTGCAACCCAGGTACATGCCCTTGACTGGGAATTAAATCTGTGCCCTTTCCATCCGCAGGCTGATACTGTAACCACTGAGCCACACAGGTCAGGGCAGCTGCAAGAATTTTTAAAACATGCAATACCTGACTGTTTAGTCAGGAGCACTGACTTCTTTTCCCTTAGATTGTCCAAAAAAATGACCTCAGCCAACACAATAATAGATATCCGGTGTTAATGAATCAAAATTGTACCTATTTTTTTGTCAGATTGGCAAAAAAATACAATATTTTTGTGTGTGCCACAGAATTTTAGTAATAAATTTATGTGTGCCATGAGATTAAAAAGGTTGAAAATCGCTGCACTGGATTGTGCAATGATTAAGGGCAAGAATCTTGCTCCATAACAGGCGCTTAGTATTTGTTTAGTGAATGAATAGTGCTTTACGAATATTTTTTGAGAGTCTGCTTTTTTTCTTTCTATTATATAGACAGATATGTTTCAAACTATTTCACTGTACTGTTTGTTTTTTAAATTATCGATTTTAGAGCGAGAGAGAAACATCATTTGTTCTATTTATTTTTACATTCATTGGTTAATTCTTGTGCCCTGACCTTGGATTGAACCCACAACCTTGGTGTATTGGAATGATGCTCTAACCAGTTGATCCACCTGGCCAGGTTTCACTGTACTGTTTCTGTGTGGGAGACCAATTCAAAAAAGTTATCGAACTCTAGAGTGTAAAAGATAGCTTTACAGTTTTGGGACCAGAGTCAAGTGGTACACTGTCCTATGATCCCAAGAAGGGATTTGACAGGTACCTATTTGGATTAGTAGAATTTACTTTGTGAAGACTGTTTTCAGCTGTTTCAGAATAAGAGTTTAGTTTATGTGTTTACCCTTGGCTTTATTACAGTTTTTGTTTCAAACTTTATTATGTAAGCTATTTGAATTAGGTCAAAATTTAATATAAAGATTCTTAGATATTGCTTTTGCTTTTTTATTTTTTGTATTTTTTTATTTTTCAATTATATTCGACATACTATATTAGTTTCAGGTGTACAACACAGTGAGTTGACATTTTATAACTTATGAAGTACTTACCCCATAAGTCTAGTATA